CCCCCGCAACAACAATCATCACAGCCTCAACCGCCGATGTCGGCGCCAGCAGCCCCCCGCAAACGCGGTCGACCTCGCAAGGATGCCATTGAATCCAGCGACTCCTCCTCGCCGCCTGCTACATCAGCACGCGGAGGACAAGCCGCCAGGCGTCCATCTCCCGCCGCCACCCGTTCTTCCTTGCCGACCAAGGTGAAACTTCTGTTCGCACCCGTGTCCCCCACCAGCTCCGGCAACGACGACGCCTCCGACGACCCCGCCCCCGCCAAATAAAAAAAAAACTCAAATAATAAAAAAAAAGGAACGGGAGGTGAAAAAAAAATGGCAGCACGGTCCCTACAAACAATGAACGTTGACCTGCTTTCCTTCAACAAAAACGCAACATGCATCGAAAATAAAAAATGTCGCATGGTGACAAGAAAAAATGTTTGTTTGAGCAGGCACCCAAAGTCAATTGAGGAGCACGAACTGACTTTGAAAAAAGAATATGCGGCAACGGCCGTAACAAAACAACGTGCAGCATGTGCCGGTTGAACAAAAATGAAAACATGGTTCGAATAAAATACAAAATGGCAGCATGGCCCGCAGAGTATAATGTTGACCCTCATCAAAAACCAACTAGGCCAGCAATACCCCCAAGAAAGTCGTACTCTTTAACCGAGAAACAATTTCGGGTTCAGCGGCAGTCACCTGTTTGAACTGGAGAACAGCAGGCCAGAACTTCCTTCGTTGCCAAGGTCTTGTTATCCTAGAGAGGAGGGATGACGGGACGAGCGGCGGAGGAGATGGGAATGTAAGCGGATCGACATGGGCGAACAATGAAAGTCTGGTGACTGCGATTTTGTGCCCTATAGTCGAGCACCACAACGAAAAATAACAAAATAAAATAATGAGAAAGGATGCTGAAGAAAAAAAACGATCAGAAGCGACCTCACACTATGATCTCAGAGTGATCAGAACAACAACGCAGATGTAGGGCGAACAACAACAATAAAAGCAACCGATAAGAAACAGGCAGCGGGCGGAGACACGAAGAATCAAAGAAAAGGAGGCAAAAAAATACTACACAGTCGAATGTCTGCGTGTTCTCGAGGGGCTTCATGACGATCTTGAACCTGGTTCCCTGCCGCCAAGTTCCGCGTGGTCGCGCAGATGCTTGCGCATAGCCGCGTTGAGACGGTTGTTGTTGTCGAACCTCTTGTTTATGCTCAACGTTGCCACGGCCTGAATACAGAGTCACGAGCTTGTCCGCGAACGTGCCCGTGACCGGGTCAAAAAACAGGCTGGTCGGCCGGCCTTCCAACACGGCGGGCAGGTCCACCACTACCCGCCCCCCCCGACCCCGGCTGTCCAGAGGGCGTAGGATTACCCGAACCGGAGAGGAAGGCGACGTTGACACTCGTCCATGGATGGAGGTGGTCTCTGTGGAGTCCGCGATGATGCGGCGCCGCTGAGAGTGGGGCTGGGTGGCGGCGTCGGCCTCGCAGGAGAACGTTCGAAGCCTTGCCGTGTCTCCTCAACTCGTCGTCCAGTGGCTCATCAACGACGGCGAGTACGTGCCGAGTCATACCTGGATCTGCCCGACAAGCGCCGCTCCGATGGACCCCGGCCGGGCGGAAGCACACTGGGTCGCGACCCTCTCCCCGTCCATGTTCACCAGAGAGCACGCCCACACGCTGTTCTTCTCCGGTGGACAGGGTGGACGCATTAGCTCCTCATTCCTGCTGTGGGATGCCATGGATAGGGAGTTCGAGGACCTCACCGTCGACCAGGCAAAAGTCTGTTCGCGTACAGGAGGCTCGAAGTCCAGGGTGCGATGGATGTTGGGCGGGAAGGGTCAGCACGGGCCTTGACTTTCTACCGCAAAAAAACCCCGGGTGTCCTGCGGTACGACGTTGACGCGTACCGGTTGATGAAAAAAAAAATTGCAGCGTAACGGGTGGGAAAAGATGATCGGAGCTTTCCCACGTTAAAGATGATCGGAGCTATCCTACATGTACCGGTTGATGGAAAAAAACTTTTGCAGCGTGACGGATAGGAAAAGATGATCGTAGCTTTCCTACATCTATCTTCGGGTTGATGAAATGAAAAAAAAAAGACGCACCAGGCCCAGCAGAAAAAGCAGTGACGCATACTAATATATAGACATACCTGCGCGTGTAGCCCAGAGGACCGGGCGCTCTTCTTCAGCTGTTTGGCGATGGTGCGCGCACGCTCGTCGGTCCTGGCCTTCACAATCCAGGACTTGGGCTCGACGACGTCGCCCACCGGCTGAGGCCGGAAAAATCCGCCGACCTTCTTGATGTCCGCGAGTATTTCGTATCCGCGCTCGATCGTCACAATACCTGGGAAAGGCGGGGCACGGGGCCGGCAAGCAGGATTACGTTACAGGAAGTTAGAAACCCTGGCAGACAGAGAACGGACACCACACAACGATCCGCAACAGACACAAGGTATTCCTTCTGCGCCAGAGGGCCAGAGGGGCCTCCGTCCACATAAAACCCAACTCTTCGATACGAGAGAACTGAAACTCATCTTACCCGTAGTGTTCAAGACGTTGATGATCGTCGCTCTTGATTCCATCAGGTATGAACGCGGCTCGCGGCTCGCATCAAGACAGGAGGAGAAGGCGAAGCGAGGCGATGATGGTGATCTCGAATCCACCGAAGGGGAGGAGGCAGGAAGAGAGTACAAGAAAGCTGGCCGAAAGCAAAATGTTCTGGGTCGGGGAGAAGGATGGTAATGACAGTGGGTGGGTAGAGGAGGGGGGGGGGGCGCACGGCCTTGATAGACGGTTCCATGATTTCGACCGGAATGGATACTTGTCAACGGTCAACCCGGCGGCCCAACCGTGAATCCGTGGTTTGTGGAAGCGTACCGGAAATTTCGTGAAAGAGCGGCGAGAGACAAAAAAGGGTACACGGGGGTATAGCAATGTACAGGGTACAGAGAAGAGAGAGAGGTTGGCAGAAGCTTTTGGGATCCTTGGGAAGCCGAGGACCTCGAAGGGAAAAACGTTGCATCGCCCGCAAAGGCAGTGCAGCAAAGCAGCAGCGAGAGAAAAGAGTTTTCGTTTGGGACTTGATCGAATTTTTGTTTCGAGGGCCCGGTTGAGAGAAGGCCTATTGTGGTCTATGCGGGACGGGGAGCGCGGAAGTATGGGAATTTTCGTGTGGTCCCGAGGCCTCGCGTGTGACGCGTCTCGCGTGCGTCTTGGGTGATGCGGTCATGTGGTCTCGCACCGGGCAGGACTGTCGGACGCGGGACTGTCATCACAAACGCGGGCATGCGTTCCGCGTTCGTTTGATCAAGTCCCAAACGAAAACTCTTTTCTCTCGCTGCTGCTTTGCTGCACTGCCTTTGCGGGCGATGCAACGTTTTTCCCTTCAAGGTCCTCGGCTTCCCAAGGATCCCAAAAGCTTCTGCCAACCTCTCTCTCTTCTCTGTACCCTCTACATAGCTATACCCCCGTGTACCCTTTTTTGTCTCTCGCCGCTCTTTCACGAAATTTCCGGAACGCTTCCACAAACCACGGATTCACGGTTATACCGAATCCGTGCGTAGGCACGCGCATCCAACTTGCAGGGACGTGTGTACGTGCGCATCCAACACCTGTCGGAAGGAAAGTTTTTTTTGCTGTTTCACCACATCCCGTTCGACTGTGGGTATATCTCGAATGGGTAGTCTTTCTGTGTGTGTGTGTATTTATTATTCGTTAATTCTCTCACATTATTAGCTCTAGACTATAGACTAACCCACAAAAATGGGGAGCCCGTGGTCGCTAAACCCGGCACAAACGACGCCGCGGGGAAACAAAACAAGAAAATAGTACAAACCACTCGGAAAAAGAAACAAAATGATAAAAGAGAAAAGAACAGCTACCGCACCGACCGGTCGAGAAAAGGAGCCTAGGAAACCGATCAAAATAAAACAAGACAAAAATAAAGGCAAAAATAAAACGGGAAAAAGGAGCGCTTCCCACACCCGCCTAAAAAAATCAAAGGGTACCGTAGTACCAGCATCAGGCACTACGCACCAGGGCATGGGAGTAATGGAGGCAACAGAACAAAGAGGCGGCAGATGGGCAGATAGCCATCCATCTATCTGATATAAACGCAAAAGCAACGGCAAAAGGGAGATCAAGGTACCCAACAAGGCAGAGTAGACAGGGAGGACATGAAAAAACAAGCACAGCACTGAGGCCGAAGGCAATACAAAGGACATACAGGAGTGTAGCATACAGCAGGGAGGGGAACAGGCCGCAGCAACATCAGCCGGGTACGTAGTTCGCCACGAGTGCCGCCTCGGCCGCCCTACTCGCTCCTACAGCAGCAGCGCCCGGTCGCCGTTTCTTCCCCCCCACCGCCGCTTCCCCGACTCTCTTTTTCTTCGGTCCCGAGATGGCCGTCCTCCCTGCTTCTGCTTCCCTTGCGCGCTCGCGCTTCGCGGACGCTTCCGCCTCCTGTCTGTGCCATTTCCTCATGAACCATGCCGCCCCGTCCTCGACCTTGTTGTACCACGCCTCCGGGTCCTTGGCGCTCTCTTTCCATTTCCCCCCTTCCTTTTCGTCTCCCGTGTTGAACGCCACGACGTCCTCTCCTAGACGAGACACCCAGTCGCTCTCCTGCCCGCCCCGGTATCCCACGCCCCCCGCCATCGTTCCTACCAACATCCGCTTGGGGAGGCGGTTGTCCTCCATGCGCATAACGAAGCCCGCGAAATACAGTCTCCGTTTGCGCACGGTAGCCTCGATGGTTTCCTCGCAGGCGGCCTGGATGAGGGCCTGAGCATAGGACAGGGGGCGGTCTGAGCGTTTCCGCTTGCTCCAGCCGATGCACCGTGTCAGGAACTGGCGGTGGGTCCCATTGAGCTTCGTGTAGTAGTGCTCCGCTGTTAGGCTCCACGAGGCGCACCCGTATAGGAGAGTCTCCACCACTTCAGCCTGGAGTAGCCGGATCTTGAGCTGGCGGTCGGCCCGTCGCCTGTCGTACATCGAAGCACAGTTGCGGCGGTAGCACTTCCTCCACGCTCGGCAGCTGCGGCTCGTGACCTCCCGGTCGGCCTTCCCGTCCGCGCAGATGGTACGTCCGAGGTACACAAACCGATCTGTCTGCTTGTACGTCTGGCCGGCGGCGCTGACCGTGAACGGGCGTTCCTCGATCCCTTTCGGCAGCATGCACATGATCTCCGTCTTTGGCTCCGATACCATCAGTCCGAACAGGCCGACCACGCGCACGATGACCGACATCATCTTCTCGAGACTCTCCGGCGAGCGCGAGACGATAGCCGCGTCGTCAGCGTAGAGAGCATGGCCCACAGGGCCTCCACGTCCGTCACCACCGTTGTCTTCTTCCCCGCCGACCTGCCCTTCTTGCCCGTGTACTCCACTTGTGTCCCGATCTTGACCATGTCCGCCGTTACCTTGGGGGTCTTTGTCGAACTCGGCCACGGCGATCATGAGCATCGCGGCAAAGAACAAGAAGAACAGCAGCGGGGCCAGGTTGCATCCCTGTCGGAGGCCTTGGCCCACGTCGAACCATTCCGAGTACTGCCCGTCGTCCGTTCGGACGCGCGCCCTCATGCCCTCGTGGAAGTGGCGAATGACCGCCAGCATCTTCGGGGGCACGCCAAAGCGTCGGAGCACGTCCCACAGTAGGTCTCGGTCCACCGAATCGTACGCCTAAAGTGTTGGACCCGCATAAGAACACCTGTCGGCAGGACAAAATGTGGGGTACGCGCACATACAAACCACCGAGACACCCACAGTACCTACCTGTCTGCATACAAACACCAACCATCGAATCAGAAAACCAGAGGCAAATATAATTCGGCTGTACAAACTTCAAGACAAACAATTATGATTTCCGGGCAAGTTCAAACAATATAAACGCCGTCACCAACCCCCTATTATCTACAAAGCGTCAACGGCCCCCAAAACCAAAAGAACAACCATTGGTTGCCTAGCCTTTCGTGGCAAGTGAACTCTAGCCTTCGAGTGTCGCACAAGAATAAAACGTGGAATACAGTATACCATCCACCGGTACCACCCCACGCACCCTCGACTCGGCCTGATGTTGCCACGCAACAATCGTCAGTATATTACAAGGGCGGCACAACAGCCCGTGCCAGGAACCAGTGCTTCGTATGTACATGGGAGGAATCGCAGAAAAACGTGGTGCAGGAAGGACATAGACACACCCGCTGCCGGAAGACCGACTCCATTGTACGGAAAACTACGAACTCTGGAGAGGAGGCGTGAACGGGGGAAGGGAACACGCAAATGTAGAAAAATATGTTACCAAGAACGCCCGACGAACTAATAAATAATTCCTGTGTTGCTATTAACTCCCGAGCAACCCCGCGGGGCGGGGCACATTGAATGGCATACCATTCGCTCGAAACCCGACCCACTCTCTTGGTGTCCATGCGACATTCCGCGATACATATTTTTTTTATGTCGCACAGGATGACTCCAAACGCTGCTATAAAAGCTCCTCTGTGGTCTGTGTGAATTCAGGCCGCCGAGACAGCGAAATATCTCAACAACACGGCATTGTGTGCAGGCAGCGACAGCAACAGCTACTCTGTTGCTGCTCGCCACGAACAGGGACTACCCAACTACGCGCCTCTCCGTGGTCGCCATCAGCAGCGTTACAGTAGCCGATGTGCCGTTTGTCATCTACACCTGTTAGAGGACCCCGGTATTCTGGTAGGACGTACGTTTGTGAATCGCCCCCACTCCTAACCCAAAACCCTACACAAAGGCGTGCGTGGCTGGCAGTGGAATTACGCTGCAAATAGGAACAGCGATAGGAGAGAGGAGAGGCGCCAAGAAAACACAACCACCAGCAACAACATCAACATAATCAGCTCTCGTCCGACTTGGCCCGTGTCCTCCTGAGACAAAATTTTCTCTCGGTCGGACATTCCCCAGCGGCATTGCAGCAGGCTCCCCCCCCATCGGAGGAGCCGCCGCCGACCCCGCCGCCCTCCCTGTCGCTGACGAAGTAAAAGCCGCCCACGACAAGGAACGCCCCCAAGACCGCGAGGGGGTTCGGCACCTTCCCGTGCATGGCGAAGTCCGACACGAACGCGATCGGGATCGTGAGCGAGCACCCCACGGTGGCCACCGTTGGTGTCGTGAGCAGAATCGCTCGGGCCCACACTATTAGACACATTGGTAACATAGCAGAAGGAACGGGGGAGGGGGGGGGGGGGCGGGGCTTGTGGGAACAAGGGTTTCGAAGATGATTTCATCGGCGCTGCTGCGCAAGCCGTGCAAACCACGCTATAACGTCAGCATCAGATTCACGACAGGCGAGTGGTGGACGAGGGGTTGGGTTAGGGGAATTGGAGTGTAGGGTTGCGCGAACAAGGAACACCGCTCAAATGGCGCCGGGGGGGTATGTCGGAAAACTAGAAGTGAAGCGGCAGCAATCGTTCGCCATACCTGCCGAGCGAGAGCCACAAGCCGCGCGCTCTAAAGAGTATGCAGCTACCAAACAAGGTGCGTGCCAAGAGACGGCCACAAACAGCAAACCTGCAGCACACGGTGCGGTTGTTAATGTGGGAAGACACACACAGAGAGAGGTAGTGCAGTGGTGTCTACGGTGCTAACCAAACAAACAGATCTCGCAGAAAGAATACCAAAACAAACGGGCTCTCACATAGCCCGGAGATGACGTTGTCCATGACGGCCTTGAAGACGATCAGCTGGACAATGTGGAATGTCAGCCCGTGCAGGATGTGCATGCCCGGCGCGTACGCAAGCCCGACAACCAGCGGCCTGTTTTCGGGGACACAATACGCGACGCGAAGGGGGGGGCGTAGGTGATCGGGGTGTGGAACCAGTCAATACACGGCGGTGGGTGAGCGCAAGGGGAATGGGAGAGAATAGGAGGGGAAGTTCGTGAGTCGGGCTGGTGTGGTGTGAAGACGCCGAAGGTTTGTGCGGTGTATGTGGCCTGCCGTCAAGTCGGTTTTCATCCCGCGCAAGGAGAGGACCTGCGCCTGCAAATGGGGGAGAGCCGGGGAGAGGCAAGCACCGACAGCAAACTCGCAAAAGAGGGGGCGTCACTCCGGCGCGAGCGATTCCGAGCCTGCCTGCTGCGCAACCTCGTGCGAGTCAGGCCGAGCAACATCCCAGCAGCACTCCTAGCATGAAACCGCACCAAACTACCGCTGCAATAGAGGCACTGGCAATAAACGGCTCGCGACGCAACGACTGCGTTGCACGTACGTAGCACAGCAGCAGTAACACATACAACTTTTTACTCACAGGAATATCAACGCGTTCGCGACTCCCAAGTACCCCAGCACGAGACTCATTGACACCTCGTCGTCGGAAGGACATAGTACTGTCAGGATCGTTGAATACACTCCGTACTGCACCACAACGAGCGAGAGCCAAACGGGGGTGGGTCGGGAAGGAAGAGTAAGAGGTGTTCCTGCTGTCAGATTTGTGATGCGCACTCCATGGGGCAATAGATTGAGATGTAGACGAGTTCCAATCGCGTAACTATTTTCACTCTGTCAGGACTTTCCGGGCAGATCCTTGCACAAAAACGATTGCGTTTCTGATCCACCACCCCTTAGGGTTGCCTAGATTGATCTCAGGCTCTTTGAGGCACTTGTGAGCCTACAGCACTTCCGTCCTTGTGGAATCGTACATGTACCTCGGTACTGCTGCGTGCAGAAAGCCATGTCCATAAAAAAATTAACAGCAGGTGAACTCATTCATCACCTTCGTATATATTGCTGCGTCAACTCAAAGCTCGACAAACACAGCAGTGACGGCGATAATACTTAAGGAAAAACCCATTATGCCAAACCAACAACAGGCCTTGTTTGCTACAACCAAGCATACAAGCTCATATGTACGACATTAGCGAAAGAAATGCCGAAACGGGGGAAATAATGTGCTCGTAGACCAGAAAAACACAACACAGATGCAACAACAGCAACCCTACACACGGGCAACCACAAAGGGCCGAAGAACACCAACAAAAGGCCAACATGAAACGAACACAACCAAGGTATAAATAGATATCTACTGTTCTCTTCACTGATGCCGCGGCATACAACCCATGGAACTCACCCCTACAGCAGACATGAGCGCTGCCGCGTCTCCCCACAGCGAGTCGTGCGCGGAATCGCCATCTTCCTTGTCGCCCAAGCCCACCTGTTGCGGCCAGCCAGTCAGGCCGTTGTTGCGTTCCACCGAAACCAGGCGCAGCCAAAAATAACAAATCGGTCGACTGCTTTACGGGCTAGGTAGTATTTTCTTCGTGGCATCTGGTGTACTACTACTGCTGTACGGTGGAGTGATCGCTGCACCGACTCGTAGAGGTGTGGCGGATACGAAGGGGGGGGGGGGGGGGCGAACGAACCCCCGAAGGCAAAACCC